GTTTTAGCTGGCAACTTTACTGCAAACTTGTTTTATCAGCAAGGTCTTTATGACCTGTATTTTTTTTTTTTTTTTTCTGAGACGGAGTTTTGCTCTTATTACCCAGGCTGGAGTGCAATGGCACGATCTCGGCTCACCACAACCTCTGCCTCCTGGGTTCAAGCAATTCTCCTGCCTCAGCCTCCCAAGTAGCTGGGACTACAGGCTGCGCCACCATGCCCAGCTAAATTTTGTATTTTTAGTAGAGACGGGGTTTCACCTTTTTGACCAGGATGGTCTCGATCTCTTGACCTCATGATCTACCTGCCTCGGCCTCCCAAAGTGCTGGGATTATAGGTGTGAGCCACCGTGCCCGGCCATATGACCTGTATTTTATGACCTCCTAGCTCATCCTGTGACTTAGAATGCCATAACTGTTTGGGATTGCAGACAAGTAGGTTTCAGCCTCATTTTACCCAGCTCCTGTTTAAGATGGAGTGGCTCTGGTTCACATGCCTCTGACACCTCAGCCTCCCAAAGTGCTGGGATCACAGGCATGAACCACCGCAACTTGCCAGATTCTGCATTTTTTTTTTTTTTTTGAGACAGTGTCTCACTCTTGTCGCCCAGGCTGGAGTGCAGTGGCACCGTCTCAGCTCACTGCAACCTTCACCTCCCAGGCTCAAGCGATTCTCCTGCCTCATCCTTCCAAGTAGCTGGGACTACAGGCACACACCACGACACCCAGCTAATTTTGTATTTTTAGTAGAGATGATATTTCACCATGTTGGCCAGGCTGGTCTTGAACTCCTAACCTCAGGTGATCCGCCCACCTTGGCCTCCCAAAGTGCCGGGATTACAGGTGTGAGCCACTGAGCCTCGGCCTCCGAAATGCAGAATGCCAGATTCTGCATTTCTAACAAGATCCCAGGTGCTGCTGATGCCCCTACTCCAAGAACCACACTTGAATATCAAGGGTCTACGCCCACTCCTGCCAGATATTTCTGTGCCTCAGAATTCTTTGCAAAAAGAGTAGAATTTGACTCGTTCTGTTTGCCCTTCTTCCCCCTTCTGCTTTTAAAAATGTAATGTTTTAATGCACAAACATGAATAAAATCTAAGCACAGACATGTTTGATACCTGTCATCAAACGGAAAGTATAGAAGTTGAGGTTTAGAATTTCACTAGCAGGAGGTTAGTAGGTGTTATGTGTTCATTTTATAAAGGCAGCAGGTCATTAGTTATAAAGGTCATGATCTTATCCCTGGAATAATGGAATCTGTTTCTGAGTAAGAGTCAGTTTGAGATGATCAATAGTAAAGAGACTGAAAGAGGAAGAAAAATGTCTTGTGTTCTCAAAAATACAGTCATGTAAACACTAAATGACTTTTTGTCATGGGATCACACTCTTCATACTTTTACAATGTGGTTATCTGATAGACACTGGCTCATAATAACACACATCAGCTAATCACACAGAAGTAGATAAGTAAGGCAGATTCTCTTTTTGCTTTCCAGGCTCTCCTTCCCCACCCTACAGCTTAACCAGACAAGTTTTACTCTAAATTCTTTTAAAATGCGTGTTAAGAACAAAACAAAAGGGTGGGTGCAGTGGCTCACACCTGTAATCCCAAGCACTTTGGAGATCGAGGTGGGCAGATCACCTGAGGTCAGGAGTTCAAGACCAGCCTGGCCAACATGGTGAAACCCCATCTCTACTAAAAAGACAAAGATTAGCCGGGCATGGTGGTGCATGCCTGTAATGCCAGCTATTGGGAGACTGAGGCAGGAGAATCACTTAAACCCAAGAGGTAGAGGTTCCAATGAGCTAAGATCGTGCCATTGCACTCCAGCCTGGGCAACAAGAGCAAAACTCTGTCTCAAAAAAAAAAAAAAAAGAACAAAACAAGGAAGATTATTTTTAGATAAGCAAGCACCAAAATAATTTTAAAGTATTAAAATGCAAGTTAAAGAAATAGAAATAGGCTGGGCATGGTGGCTCACACCTATAATCCCAGCACTTTGGGAGGCCAAGGCAGGTCAATCACTTTAGGTCAGGAGCTCCAGACTAGCCTGGCCAACATGGCAAAACCCCGTTTCTACTGAAAACACAAAAATTAGCTGGGTGTGGTGGCGCATGCCTGTAGTCCCAGCTACTCAGGAGGCTGAGGCAGGAGAATCACTTGGACCTGGGAGGCAGAGGTTGCAGTGAGCCAAGAGCGTGCCACTGCACTCCAGCCTGGCGACAAAGCAAGACTCTGTCTCAAAAAAAACACAACAACAACAAAGAAAGACATATTGCTTAATAGTGTTTCTCTTGAATACCTGAGTACTTATATTGAATAAATTCAAGTTTAGGTAGCAAGAAGAAAAGACCCTTGCCTTATTTTAAGCCCTTAAGGTTTAAGACACATGCTGTTTACAAGAAAGGATGCAACAAAATTTCATTTTAGTAAGGAAGCCTGGTTAAAGATCAGATCATCATATAATTATCATATAACATCAGGGCAAAAGAACAGACCTTTTTTCTTCTGAAAAGGCACATTTTTTAAAGCCGAATTCAATTAAATTTCTTTGAAATACTGGTTTTGTCCAATTTTTTTCCTTATTAAAAGCTATTAAAAAAAAATAAATAGCTTTTTTCTTCTTTTATTTTAGGAACGACCCTTCTCTTGTCACCCAGGCTGGAATGCAGTGGTACTCAAACTCACTGCAGCCTTGAGCTCCTAGGCTTAAGCAATCCTCCCACCTCAGCCTCCCTGGTAGCTGGGACCACAAGTGTGTACCGCCATACTTAGCTATTTAAAAAAAAAATTGTGGAGATGGTGTCTCTCTGTGTTGCCCTGGCTGGAGTGCAGTAGTGCAATCACAGTTCACTGCAGTCTTGAACTCCTGGGCTCAAGTGATCCTTCTGCCTCCACCTCCTGAGTAGCTGGGATCACAGGCATGAGAAACCATGCCTGGCTAATTTTTTAAAAAAAAATTTTTAGTAGACATAGGGTCTCACTATGTCATCCAGGCTGGTCTCAAACTCCTGGCCTCAAGCAATCCTCCCGTGGTGGCCTCCCACAGCACTAGGATTATAGGTATGAGCCACTGCACGCAGCCCTTGAGTCTGTTTTTCTCATTAGCATGTGTATTAGCCTTTTACTTGGCACTGCAACAAATGACCACAAATATAGAAGCTTCGACAACATAAATATATTGTCTTACAATTTTGCAGGACAAAAGCCTGACCAGGCTGAAATCCAGGCATTGGCTGGGTCAGGTTCCTTTCTGTAGGCTCTGGGTACAGTCTATTTCCTTGCCTTTCCCAGCTTCTAGAAGTCCCCCACATTCCTGGCTGGTGGCTCCTTCCCTCATCTTCACACAACAAAGGCAGAGTCAGAGTGGAGCCTTCTCACATCGCATCACTCTGTCCAGCTCTCCTGTTTCCCTCTTCCGATGCTGAGGACCCCTGTGATTACACTGAGCTCACCCAGATAATTCAGGATAACCTCCCTATTTTAAGGTCTGCTGATCAGCAACTTTAATTCTCCTTTGCCATATAAAATAACATATTCTCAGGTTCCAGGGATTAGGATATGGGCATCTTTGTCTGTTCTGTCTGTGTGTGTTTGAGCGGGTGGGTAGAGGCCATTATTCTGCCTACCACACTGTATCTTATCAATAATTAAAAAGAATCTTCTAAGAGAGGACTATTGCAATTTGGGTACCGATAGCATTTACATAGTGCCATTACATCAAAATTGCATTCAAATTGCATTACTCACTGGTGAAACGTGCTGCAGCTCTTTTTTTTTTTTTTTTTTTTTTTGAGATGGAGTTTTACTCTTGTTACCAAGGCTGGAGTGCAGTGGCGTGATCTCGGCTCACCGCAACCTCTGCCTCCTGGGTTCAGGCAATTCTCCTGCGTCAGCCTCCCGAGTAACTGAGACTATAGGCACGTGTCACCATGCCTGGCTAATTTTTTTGTATTTTTTAGTAGAAACAGGGTTTCACCATGTTCACCAAGACGGTGTTGATCTCCTGACCTCCTAATTTACCCAACTTGGCCTCCCAAAGTGCTGGGATTACAGACATTAGCCTCCACACCTGGCCTTTAATTTTTTGTTATTTCAAGAAAGGGTCTTGCTCTGTGGCCTGGCTGGAGTACAGTGGCACAATCATGGCTCACTGCCGCCTAGACCTTCCCAGGCTCACATGGTCCTCCAGAGTAGCTGGGACTACAATCACATGCCACCACATTCAGCTAATTTTTTTATTTCTTGTAGAGACAGGGTTTCATTTTGTTGCCCAGGAATCTTCTTACCTCACCCTCCTAAAGTGCTGGGATTACAGGCATGAGCCCCTATGTCTGGCCTCTTCTTCGCTAGTAATGATTTGTATATTATAATCTTGGAGTATAACTATAAATAGACCCTTCAATCTCTATGACCTATCCAAAATTTATTACATAGACAGGGTTATGTGAGAAACACTTAAGAAGTGTTTCTCAAATGGGGTGATTTTGCTCACCCACAGGACATCTGGCAATATCTGCAGACGTGTTTTGGTTGTCACAGTTGAGGAGAAGATGCTATTGGTATCTCGTGGGTAGAGGCCAAGGATGCTGCTAAACATCCTACGAAACACAGGACAGCTCCACAACAAAGAATCAGCCAGCCTAAAGTGTCAATCGCACCAAGGTTGAGAAACCCTGGCTTAGCAAGATGCCAGCCTACAGTACCCCACCCCCAACTGAATTAGGTATTAGTAAATGGATCAGGATTGTATTAGTGTATTGATTTGTATGCTGATTGAACTAGATGTTATACTAATTAGTTTACGAGCTAACTAAAATTGTGGTCAAAAGATAACTGGAGGAAACAGAAGATGGGTATATCAGTACATACCAATCCACGTGAAATGTGAAAAGTAATATACTGAAAGAAAGTAAGCCTGACTTGGAGCCTTAATTGATGAAATTGATGCCCTTCTCTCATGGTTCTCATCTCTACACTTCTTTACCTACATTGCAGGTATTCCTGGCTCTATGCCAAATGCATCCTGGACTGGAAACCTCAGAGCTATAAAATGGAATGACATGGAAGACAAACATGGAGGCTGCCACGGTGAGGTTCTCCTTCCATGCTTCTAGGATACTGCTTGTTGATGTTAGCAGGAAGATAGCTGTGGAATCCAGGGTTCTCATGGAGAGAGAACTGCTGCTATATTTAAACCAATCTGTTAGTTATTTGAGAAGCCAGAGGCTTCAAGACACAGTCCTTCAAAAATAAGTTTAAACATCTCACTGATATTCACCAACTTATAATTACCTAGGGAGATGAAAAGATAGGTTCAAATCATGATTCCATTTTCTCCTTGCTAGTTTTCAGCTTGCTTTCTTTAGAAGCAGGGTCTCACTCTGTCACCCAAGCTGGAGTGCAGTGCCATGAATACAGCTCCTTGCAGCCTCAAAATCCTGGGTTCAGGATTCCTGCCTCAGCCTCCCAGGTAGCTGGGACTACAGGCATGTGCCACCACACCTGGCTGATTTTTATTATTATTATTATTTCATGTAGAGTCAGCTTTCCTTTTCTTTATTCCTCTTGCTGTGCCTTCTGAGAGTCCAGCTGTTCAGAGGGGAAAGTGGTCGAGAAGAGAAGTGATGTCATATTCTCACCACAGAGCAAGCTGGGCCTCCATCCCTCAGGCCAGTTCCTGCTCCCCTACAGGTAGCCTTCCCAGGGGCTTGGAGAGCTATCAGGATTTGCACAGCTCTGGCATGGAGGATGACAGGTGACATTAACAAGAAGGGTACCCCTCGGAATGGAAAAGAACTAGAAATCCTAAGTCAGTTCCATTTCTATAGAACTTTATGAAAAAGAGTTTTTATCAGCCCTGGCACATTCAGAATATTGCCCAGCATATAGTGAGTATGAGTATCAGTTTGCTAGGGCTGCCTAGCATGGACTGGGTGCTTAACATTGGGTCCTGTCATCTAACTTCAGCTAGGCCTCCTGGCTACCTACTTATCCTTTTGTTTACCTCATTATTTTCCTAGTGCCCTTCCTAAGTTTCACTTTTTCAGCTTTCCTGCTTAATTTAAGCTCCCAAGATGTATTAGTCCATTTTCACACTGCTGATAAAGACATACCCAAGGCAGGGCAATTTACAAAGGAAAAGAAGTTTAATGGACTCAGAGTTCCACGTGGCTAGGGAGGCCTCACATCCTGGCAGAAGGCAAAAGTCACATCTTACATGGCAGCAGGCAAAAGAGAATGAGAGCCAAGCAAAAAGGGAAACCCCATCAGATCTCATGAGACTTATTTACTATGACAAGAACAGTATGGGGGAAAGCACCTCCTATGATTCAATTATCTCCCACTGTGCCCCTCCCATGACATGTAGGAATTATGGGAGCTATAATTCAAGATGAGATTTGGGTGGGAACACAGCCAAACTATATCACAAGGTTATCCCAAAACAGCCTTTCTATTCTCAAAAGTGACCATTTCAACTTGAAAAAGAACTTTTAAGATATGTAATCAAAATTTCATCATCTACTCCCTTGTCATGTCATCCCACCCCGCCATCTTAGAGCAGTGTGGACACACCTTCCTATTATTCCCTCCTGTTTCAAGAAGAAAAAGCACCCATCCCCTCAACAAAGCCACCAGCTATGGTCCCAGCTATCTGTGGGCACCCTCTCTCCCCTTGCCCTTTCACATTCTCAGCCTCTCCCTTTCTGCTGCTTCTGCCTTCTCTCTGAGAGCGTGTACTTATTGCCCCTATCCTGAAGACATCAAGTTGCCTCTGAACCCTCTGCTTGCTTCAGGCTGAAATACTCTTTCATTGTTCACTTCTATTTCCTTAAGCTTGTGCATGAGTCCTGTGTGTTCAGTTCTCACTGCCTGGTCACAGAAGAGGAGAGCATTCCAGACTTCAGACTAGATCAGTTCACCAATTTCTTTTAACTTTTTTAACTTTCTACAATTCTGGCTTCTTTCCCCTGTGGTTTCCACTCGTTTGTTTGTTTGTTTTTGAGATGGAGTCTCGCTCCGTAACCCAGGCTGGAGTGCAGTGGCGTGATCTCGGCTGACTGCAACCTCCACCTCCCAGGTCCCTGTTCAAGCAGTTCTCTTACCTCAGCCTCCCAAGTAGTGGGATTACAGGCATGAGCCACCATGCCCAACTAATTTTTGTATTTTTTAGTAGAGATGGGTTTCACCATGTTGGCACTCCTGACCTTCTGATCTACCCACCTTGGCCATTCAAAGTGCTAGGATTTTTTTTTTTTCTTTTTTTTTTGAGACGGAGTTTCGCTCTTGTTACCCAGGCTGGAGTGCAATGGCGCAATCTCGGCTCACCACAACCTCCACCTCCTGGGTTCAAGCAATTCTCCTGCCTCAGCCTCCTGAGTAGCTGGGACTATAGGCACGTGCCACCATGCCCGGCTAATTTTTTGTATTTTTAGTAGAGACGGGGTTTCACCATGTTGACCAGGATGGTCTCAATCTCTTGACCTTGTGATCCACCTGCCTCGGCCTCCCAACAAAGTGCTACGATTACAGGCGTGAGCCACCATGCCCAGCCTGATTTCCACTCTCTATGATGTTTCTTCCCCACCCACTGAATTAATCACCACGTTCTTCAGCATGCATGACATTCCGTCTGTCCTGCACTAGTGTTTTCAATATCTTCCCTGTCCCACTCATTAGTCATTCACTTTGAACAAGCTCTCCAGTTTACATTGTTATTACTGCAGCCTCTTGGTTTCTAATGTACCTATAAAACACTTCAAAATTAATCTTGCTAAAATCAGTTTCATCATTCGATTCTTCTATTCAAACATCTTTAAGGACTCTCCATGCTTATGGGATACAAGGCCCTACCCTTCAGTCTGTGAAGTTGGTCCAAAAGTAATTGTTCTATTGTGTGCTCAGAGGAATCTCTGGAAAATGATTATAACTTCCTACCATTCTTGTTTCTAACCTATACCCAACAAAACCGCCTCTTCCAGCAGAAAGTCCCCACCACAAAAGTTATTGAGGTTAAAAAACAAATTCAAATCTGACATGTTACATGTCTGAGGTTTATTACACATCTAGGCAGAGATACAAGGTAGGCACTTGCTCAGGGAAAAGACTTACCCAGGGCAACACAATAGGAGGTCAGAGCTCAGGGAAAAGGCTTACCCAGTGCAACCCATAAAGACCTCTCCCATCTGTATCACTGTAGAACTTCTCATCTGTAACTCTCATTTAATAATACAGTAGGCCTCCCTCATCCACAGGGGATACATTTCAAGACAGACAGTACTGAATTTTAAATATACTTTGTTTTTTTCTGTACATACATATCTATGATAGAGTTTAATTTTTGAGGTAGGCATAGTAAGAGATTAACAATAATAATTAATTATAAATAGAACAATTATAACAATATGCTGTAATAAAAGTTATGTGCATAAAAAACTTATGTGAATTAAAGCTAGCTGGGTGTGGTGGCTCATGCCTCTAATCCCAGCACTTTGGGAGGTCAAGGCGGGTGGATCACCTGAGGTCAGGAGTTTGAGACCAGCCTGACCAACATGGAAAAACCCCATCTCTACTAAAAATACAAAATTATCCAGGCGTGTTGGGGCACGCCTATAATCCCAGCTAACTCAGGAGGCTGAGGCCGGAGAATCGCTTGAACCTGGGAGGCAGAGGTTGCGGTGAGCCAAGATTGTGCCATTGCATTCAGCCTGGGCAACAAGAGCAAAACTCCATCTCAAAAAAAAAAAATAAAGTTATGTGCTCTCTCTCTTTCTCTCTCAAAATATCTTATTATTTTTGGATCATGGCTGACCTGGGGTAACTGAAACCTCAGAAAGCAAAACTGCAGCTAAGAGGGGCAACTGTGCATGAATGGCCTTCTAACACCTATAATGTTACTAACACAATTTTAATATTAATATTGACAATTACCACAACAATTAACATAATAATGAAGATAGTAACAGGTGTTTCTCAAATGGGGTGGTTTTGCTCACCCACAGGACATCTGGCAATATCTGAAGATGTGTTTTGGTTGTCACAGTTGAGGAGAAGATGCTATCGGTATCTAGTGGGTAGAGGCCAAGGATGCTGCTAAACATCCTACGAAACACAGGACAGCCCCACAACAAAGAATCATCCAGCCCCAATGACACCTATAATGTTACTAACACAAATTTAAAATGCTATAAAATTATTGTATGCCTTGTATGATTTAACTCTCATTTTCTAAAAATATGTATTTGTACCTATTGTTTTGTTTTTTTGTTTTTTTTTTGAGACAGAGTCTTGCTCTGTTGCCAGGCACCAGGCTGGAGTGCAGTGGTGCGATCTCGGCTCACTGCAACCTCCGTCTCCCAGGTTCAAGCAATTCTCCTGCCTCAGCCTCCCGAGTAGTTGGGCCCACAGGTGTGCACCACCACGCCCAGCTAATTTTTGTACTTTTTAGTAGAGACGGGGTTTCACCATGGTCATGATCTCTTGACCTCGTGATCCACCTGCCTCGGCCTCCCAAAGTGCTGGGATTACAGGCATGAGCCACTGTGCCCGGCCGGCTGTACCTGTTGTTCTAACTAGGGTTCCAGTTCCCTGTGGGCTGAGACTGCAGAGTCATACTTCATTTGAATCCTGTGGCATTGGCACCATTGTAGTTACTCAGTCAGAGAGTAACTCTAGTATTCTGTAAGTCCATCACCCTTTTGAAAGCAAGCATGTTTTGACTGTGTTTCTTGTTCTTTCTTTTGCAGGCCACTATGTACATGGTATTTGTATCTATGGAAACGGAGACTTAAAGTGGCTGGTTAATTCACCAAGCCTGTTTGCTAACAAGTTTGAGCTTAATACCTACCCCCTGACTGTGGAATGCCTAGAACTGAGGCATCGTGAAAGCACCCTCAATCAGAGTGAAACTGCCATACAACCCAGCTGGTATTTTTGAGCTATGGTAACTCCTAACTGAAGGGAAATTGCAGCTGGGAAGAGGAGCCCGTCTTTGGGAGAGACTTTTGCCTTCCTAATGATAATGGTTTCAGGACCACATTTATAGCTTCAGGACCTGGCACATAATTATACTTAAATTGTCCACTGGACAGACCAGGTATAGTGGCTCATGCCTGTAATCCCAGCACTTTGGGAGGCCGAGGCGGGTTGATCACATGAGATCGGCAGTTCAAGACCAGCCTGACCAACGTGGAGAAACCCCGTCTCTACTAAAAATACAAAAAAATTAGCCAGGTGCAGTGGTGGGCACCTGTAATCCCAGCTACTCAGGAGGCTGAGGCAGGAGAATCGCTTGAACCTGAGAGGCAGAGGTTACAGTGAGCTGAGATCGCATCATTGCACTCCAGCTTGGGCAACAAAAGAGAAACTCTGTCTCAAAAAAAAAAAAAAAAAATCCACTGGACACTGCGAAATACACTAACAGGATGGCTGGGTAGAGCAATCTGGGCACTTTGGCCAGTTTTAGTCTTGCTGTTTCTTAATGTTCTCCTCTATATTAGCTTATTATTATGATCAACAATAAATTTAAATGATATCCAATCTTTGTACCAGATACTCGTCATATACAAAGTTTTAATGAAAAAGAGAACTGTAGATAATACTGTCTAAAAAATAAGAATTAGGTTTCTTTGAAGAAGGAATCTTTTATAAACACATTAACAGTCACCACTCTGCTCAACCAGACAGGTATTGAAACAGCTGTCTGGGTAATTCACCAATTTCCTTGAAAACATAAGCTACTTGAATGGAGAATTGATTTTGTTTCCAAGTTTCAACACTAGCATTTTTGGTTTACTCATGGCTAAAGTTCTGTATATAGCATAAAGTCATTAAGAAGAAACAGGATGTGCTTTAAGACGGAATTCACTGTCTGTTGCTGCGGTAAAAGGACCTCGGGGAATAGAACATTTCTCTCTCATATGCTGGAATGAAGGCTGGTCCCTATGTCATGTTTTCCATTGAGAACACTGAAAAGTCCTTGCAAGAATGAAGATAAGCATTCAAGAGAGGTGCTATCGCATAAATCTGTCTGAAGTTTGGAACACTTTCCTCTTCTGTGACCCACCCTCCCCAGTATTATCTTACTTGCAAAATAGAGACCAAATTCTATCCTGTGAGGCTTTTAATTGCACCATGGTATTCTCTGAGTAGCTTTACAATGCCTGGTACTGATAGGAGGGGCTCGATTTTTAAGAGCCTTCAGGTGTAAATGAGCATCTCTTTTTATTTATCCCTCATTTATTCATCCACTCATTCATTCATTCAGCCTGCATTCAATAAAGATTTCTTGGATGTCTATTATGTACAGGACATGTACTGAGACCAAAAGGAAAAATAAGAGCTTTTTCCACTCTAAAAACCTTGGCAATAATGTCAACACCAGAAAGCCTCATCTAGAGAATCTTAGAGTGGTTGTATTTTAATACAGGCATGCACAGGTCTGTGTAGCATGATACCAGGCCCAGGAGATCAGTAATTACAAATTAGGGGTTAAATCAGAGTTTAATCAACAGAGAGAGAGAAAGGAGGAGACAGAGCGAGGGCCCGTTGTGTTCCAGGCATTCTGGTAGTCCTTTATGTATTGAATTTCATTCAAACCTCACAATGGTCTTGTGAGGCCCTCATATAATTGTTCCCGTTTTGCAGATGAAGTAACTGAGGACTAGAAAGGCTAACAGCAACAGGGAATAATTTCTCTGTGAGAATTAGGACTCTGTTAACTGGTGTCCTGATTTCATTTCCTGAGGTGGATTTACTAAGAGAAGGTGAAATAAAGCCATATTTAGGATACCAGAGAAGGTAGATTTTAAGAATGGTCTCAGTGTTAATAATGAGAAAAAGTCCTGTCAGCTCAGAAAAAATGTGAAGTCTGCTTTACTATTCCTGTAACCCATTGCGTTTCTCAGTATTTATTTATTCTAACAAAAAGCAATTACTACAATGGATGATACATTTAATGAACACAATTTTCTATAACTGTACTTGTTGAATGTTAATCATATTGAAAGGGAATGACTTTGAAGTAAAACCTTTTTTTCTTGCTACTGAAAAAAAAATGGCATTGTTTTGGGTGGTAAAGTGTTAAGGAGTAGAGAAGGCTGGTCACACCAGCAACTATCGAAGGCCACATGTGAAAACCTGTCACTTGCAGAGACGCCAGCCCCCCTAAGGTGACCAGAGTGGGCTCGAAGCACACATTGTCATTGCTGTAGATGAGGCTGTGTTATCCCCCCCCCCACCCATGAAATTCATATGTTGGATCCTTAACTCTTAGAGTGATGGTATTTGAGATGCGGCCTTTGGTAAGGGAAGTTTAGATAAGGTCACAAGGGTGTGGTCCTCCTGATGAGATGAGTGCCCTTTTAAGAGCTCTGGCTTGGGCCGGGCGTGCTGGCTCATGCCTTGTAATCCCAGCATTTTGGGAGGCTGAGGCGAGGGGATCACTTGATGCCAGGAATTCCAGACCAGCCTGGCCGACATGGTGAAACCCTGTCTCTACTAAAAAATACAAAAATTAGCTGGGCGTGGTGGCACCTACCTGTAAGCCCAGCTATTCGGGAGGCTGAGGCACGAGAATCTCCTGAACCCAGGAGGCGGCGGTTGCAGTGAGCTGAGATCACCCCACTGAACTCCAGCCCAAGTGACAGAGCAAGACTTCGCCTCAAAACAAAACAGGTGAAGGGGTAAGGAATGCACCCAGGGTCCGTAGTGAGGTCTAAAAATGGTCTCTTTTCAACCTATTTAAATGACAGCACCTGAGAAGAAATGTTTTACACGGGATATCTCTCATGTAGAACGAGAACTCTTTCTGGAATAGATGTTTACATGTCCGTCTCTCCTATGTCTTAAATACCTTAATGCTGGAAAAGCATGGTGTGGGCTAGTGGATCTCAGACAGCCCACGGGAATGTCCTGAAACTACTGTATCTGATGATTGTTTTCGATGAGATTCCATGTTTTGTTTTCTTGGGAATAAATTAATATATTGTTTTCCACTTTGGGGATGCTGTGTATTTTTATTTGACAATTGGTTAAAAATCCACTAAAGGGTATGTCTAACTAGGCAAGTCTCCTGGTTTTAAGCAACATTTACATTCATACATACAGGCATGTCCGTCTGAGAAACAACCATCCACTGAAAAATGATTACACTTTCCCATTGTGGGGGTTGGGGAGCGTAAGTGGGAGTTAGAGAGAGAAGAGGGCACAATAGAAGGTCAGTGTCATTTGAACTGGGCACAACTTTTTTTTTTTTTAAGGGCACAACTATTTTTAAAATTTGAGACAGGAATAGGCTAACTTATTATTTACCTGCCTTTATTATTCATTTAAAAAATCAAGATATACACTAGGAAAAAGTTTTATGTTATTACCATAATTACTTATCAAGTGCCAGCATTTAAAAAATTCATTTATAGGACATCTTATCCATCATTTTTTCAAATAAAAATATTTTAAATAAATAAAAAATATTTTAAAACATAAAAAAATTTTTAACTATAATAATAAATATGTACATGCTCATAAACATGGAAATAATGAAGACTATAAAAGAAAAACTGAACTACTTTCTCCAGAGGTAATCACTTATTTGCTTTCTCGGTTTTTGTTTTTCTGAGATGGGGTCTCACTCTGTCAACCAGGCTGGAGTGCAGTGGAACAATCATGGCTCACTGCAGCCTCAACCTCCTGGGCTCAGGTGATCCTCCCACCTTAAAGTAGCTGCGACCACAGGCATGCACCACCACACCTGGCTAATTTTTTGTATTTTTTGTAGAGACAGGGTTTTGCCATGTTATCCTGCCTGGTCTCAAACTCCTGGGCTCAAGAGATCCACCTGTCTTGGCCTCCCAGTGCTGGGTTACAGGCGTGAGCTACCATACCTGGTCTTATCTGCTATATGTTCTTAAGTGCTTTCTCAATGTACTGATATAACCTACAGCAGGCTGTGCAGTAGTCCAGTCAAATTTCTGCAATGATAAAAATGTTCTACATCTGCACTGTCCAACATAACTGCCACTCACATAAGCTATGAGCTCTTGAAATATAGCTAATATTACTGGAAAATATTCTTTCACATTTTATTTATCTTTTTTTTTTTTTTTTTTTGAGACAGAGTCTTACTCTGTCACCCAGGCTGCAGTGACATGATCTCAGCTCACTGCAACTTCCGCCTCCTGGTTCAAGTGATTCTCCTGCCTCAGTCTCCTGAGTAGCTGGGATTACAAGCTCACACCACCATGCCTGGCTAATTTTTGTTTTTTTGTTGTTGTTGTTTTTTGTTTGTTTGTTTTTGAGACGGAGTTTCGCTGTTGTTACCGAGACTGGAGTGCAATGGCATGATCTCGGCTCACTGCAACCTCCGCCTTCTGGGTTCAAGCAATTTTCCTGCCTCAGCCTCCCAAGTAGCTGGGACTACAGGCATGCACCCCATGCCCAGCTAATTTTTGTATTTTTAGTAGAGACGGGGTTTCACCTTGTTGACCAGGATGATCTCGATCTCTTGACCTCGTGATCCACCCACCTCAGCCTCCCAAAGTCCTGGGATTATAGGCATGAGCCACCGTGCCTGGCCTAATTTTTGTGTTTTTAGTAGAGAAGGGGTTTTACCATGTAGGCCAGACTGGTCTCAAACTCCCTCAGGAGATCTGCCTGCCTTGGCCTCCCAAAGTGCTCAGATTACAGGTGTGAGCCACTATGCCCAGCCGGCTTTAATCAATTTAAATAGCCACATGTGACTAATGGCTACCACACCGGACAGCACAGTTATAGAGGCAGGCATCAGTTATGTGTATGTGCTTGTATACACAGAGGGAATACCACAAACACATAGATACACTGGCAGATTTTTTCAAAATGAATTGATTATATAAAAATGAGAAATTATAACTTGTTGCAACTTGTTTTCTTTTTTAAGAAAAACTAAGTCTTGCTCTGTCACTCAGGATGGAGTGCAGTGGCATGATCATGGCTCACTTCAGCCTCAAACTCCTGGACTCAAGAGATCCTCCCATATTAGCCTCCCAAGTAGCTAGGACTATGGGTGTGTGCCACCATGCCTGGCTAATTTTTTATTAATTTTTGTAGTGATGCGGTGTCTCACAGTATTGTCCAGGCTGGTCTCAAACTCCTGGCCTCCAGTGAACCTTCCATCATGGACTCCTAAAGTTCTGGGATTATAGGTGTGAGCCACTGCACCTGCCCATAATGCAATGTTAAATAGTAGCAGTGGTAGCAGCTTTCCTTGTGTTGTTTCCAACATTAAAAAGCATGTTGAATTACTATTGTCGGAGATTTGATATAGCTTTTTAGTAGATACCTTTTATTAGGGATTAGAAAAGCAGAAAATGAATATAAATATAAATGTTATGATTCTAATTTTTTAAATCCCAGTTGCTGTCTCTCTTTTTTTTTTGGCAGATATAAGTATGGGTGACAATATGTTGTTGTTTTTAATTTTTTCCTCTGGCTTTTTTTGAACAGCTAGAATTGAGTACAGTGGCGTATGCCAATCAAGAGATTGGAGCAGGGATCCATTTAAGCAGAGAGCCACACAGTTGGAGTTTGGGAACACAACACCTGAGCTGGAAGGTTTCTACTGTAACTCCTCCCTTTACTGGATGGGATGTTTTAGGGATTCAGTGGTCAAGCCAATTGGAAAACGCATTAGAGGACAACTTCCGAGGGCTGACTTCTGGCCTTGGAACTAGGATGTCCTTGAAAGGAGGACATGGGTGAAGCTGACTCTGCTCACCTTTCCAAGAGGAACACGTACAAGGTCTGAAAGTGGTGGGCTTTCACTGTGAAAGTGGTGGGCTTTTCACAGGGTTTCACTGTGTTACCCAGACTTGTCTCAAACTCTTGAGTGTAATTCCAAAGTGCTGGAATTACAGGTGAGAGCCACCATGCCTGGCCTAAAAATGAAGGTTTTAGAGGGCTTTTAAAAAATGTTTTATTTTTAAATAATTTTAGACTTAGAGAAAAGTTATAAAGACATTAGAGAGTTCTCAATCTTTGACTCAGCTTCTTCTTATTAGCATCTTACATAAACAAATTCAATGATCAAAACCAGTTTTGCTTTGCTTTTAATTCTATGTTGGCTGTGTGTGTGTTGAGAGTTGGAACAGCAGCTATTTACCTTTGCACAGGACAGACCAGATAGATAAGGCAAGTCCCAATGACACTAGACCAAATGACATCACACTAGACCAAATGACAGCAAGGGACTTGTCTCAAGTGTTATTTCATGGTGAATATGGTGCTATGGACTGAATAAATTTCTGTTGTTTCTCTGCCACCTAGCTTATGCTATTTTGTTACAGCAGCCAAAACAGCCTGACATATGGAAAAGAAAATTCTACACATTCTGTATTCCAGACTATGAAAATGAGATGAACAAATGAGATGAGAGAGAGAGAAAGTCCATAGTCACATCCCTCAGAAGGCAGTGGAGAAGAAAGCGGGTGTGCGGTGATGGCAACAGGACTTGTATCTTACAGATCACTGGTTGAAAAACCCAGATTCAGATTCATTTTCTCAGGATTTTCCTAAGCAAGGTTACTCAGTCTTAAACAGCTAGGAGGGAAAGCACTGATTCCTGCCATGTCTACACATTTAACCTCTGGTGCTTAAAGCCTTTGGTGAGCCCCTTCCACATACCCAGAGCCAGTGAGCTGAGCAGTTGGTGTAATTAGCATTCGCACAGTGGCTTTCAAAGAGAACCCAGCAGAAAGTAGTCAAGTTAGACTTTCCAGTAGCTGGGCTGTTTATCAGAGATGACCCAGTGGAAGAGGAAAGGTTTAAAGAGTAACCACAGTAACAGCATGAGATTCTTTTCAAAGCACAGTGACTTGAGTACACTATTGGCTGCTAGAGACATACTTGAAAAGGGAGGTTTATATCCAGGCAGGGAGTGAAAGAAAAAGAAAAAAAAAAAAAGGAAAGAAAGAAAAGGGAGGAAAACACTGGTGTCCTGGTGGTTACCATGCATGGAAATTTTTCTGGATATGTGACTGACAAACTTTGCTAAGGAATGATGGGAATTGTGGGAAAAGTTATTTGAAAAACTTCTGCAAATATAAAGTGGGGATAAAAACATAGTGTTGTGTTTTCATAGGATTTTTGAGCAGGAATATTCCATTTGTTCTTCTATGTCTTTAACAAACTGCCAGGTTCACATTCTTGGTATATAGCTGCGTATTAAGACTCACAGGTCCTCATAAGGAACAGCTGATTCCAGTTAAGCACATCACAAAGGGGTTGGTTTTTTGCTTGGCATCACTTTATCCTTTGAAAGCTCTGTTTAGGGTGTTTTACTCACATATGTATAAAGCCATGCATTTGTTTTTTTACTTGCAAATACTTAAGCACCTCCTCCTACCTGCCAGGCACTGGGCTGACTGTTGAAGATTAACAGAGACAAAAGTCTTGCCCCAGTAGAACTCATTACAAAATGATCTTGTGCATTTCAAAGACCACTTTGTATTTTGTTTTCTTGCAAAAGGATGTGAAGGATTCTGAATGATCTGTCCTTAATGTTTGTCACTCATTCTATTACTTGAAGCAAATTAAACATCGTCTCTCCTAATTAGTCACTATTAATTAAGAAGAAAAAAAGAACAACAGATCCTTTGTATTCTAGTCAGAGGAACATGAAAATTACAAAATATACCAATTCAACAAAGTAATTTTAGATAGTCATTAAGTCCTGTGAAGAAAATAAAACAGGGTCCGGGGATATAGGTCCCCAGAAGTGGGGTGAGGGCTTAGATTATGTGGTCAGGGAAGGCCTCCCGATGGAAGAGACATTTTGAGATGGCACTTTTGCCATCTACAAGTGATGATGAAAGCTGTGACTGGACAGTAGGACTTGGCTTTACCAATGTGCCCCTGGGTTTAGCAAAAGTTCAGCCAGTCCTTAAGGGTTCCTCTGGGTAAATGCTGGTTCCAGCACTTGGACATGGAAAGTATAAGATGAGCCTGGAACATACCGTTG